TTCATGTTAGATATATCGTAATTGACATTATCACAACAGTATTGTGTAGGGTTGGGTGATGTCGACCAATTTGGCATTGTACAATGTCTAATTTGAAACATCACGATAGACGATGGCATCGTCATCATTGGAGGCGGTGTTTGACAGAGTGCGCGCTGAAGAGCGTGGAGGGATCCAGGGGTGAGAAGGGTTCGCAACTTATTTGAGGAGCAGGAGGGAGATGTGCGATTTTCGGGAAATAACCACTCGTTTGCGGGCATTATGAGTCCCACAAATGCATAGAGACTCCCGGAACTTCCGGGAGACTTGAGATGTCTGAAAATCACGTTTAACAACTATTGTGGGACGCGATCCAGCGGTACATCCTTGATAAACTGTCTGACGTGCACTGCTCTCTGGAGCTAAGAGGAGCGCATGACAGTGTGTGGCTGTGTGTGTATGTATGGATATAAAGCAGCCGTGGTAAGCAGAATAGGCTCCTTTCAAAATATTAAAAGGTATTTCAATTTCCAAACCTTTGTAGATGGTAGGGCCGCACAGTATTGGAACAATCTGACATTGCGATATTTAGTTTTGCTGCGATATACATTGCAATATGAATATAATTTCACCAGACGATTTAAATAGCTCTATTTGGAAAGATTTTATTCATTTGGATCGACTCGGGTGATTAACTCCTTTTTATCATGAAATAAAATAAATGACAAGCATATATAAACATGTCAGAGAAAAAATAAAGGTTAAATAACACTGCTTGATAGTTTTCCAGAGGGTCTAACATTATTCGATTACAGAAATTAAACAATCAAGCTTAAAATAACATGGTCATCATTGTATGAATAATTTTAAAAACAAATATTTATATTTCATACTTTAATAAATAATTTAATCCTGCTATGTGACTATTGCGGATACACACATTGCGATATTGATGCTCAAACAATAGATTGTACAGCCTTAGATTGTAGTGTCTAAATAGGTTTCATGTACACAAATCAATTCAAATACTTAAAGTCCATGTGAAGCTGCTGAGACTTTTGAGTATGTTGATGTTCTTCCAACTAAAACAGAATATTGAGTAGGGGGCGGGGCTTTTTAGCACATCATTCCCCCATAGCAAACATGGTTAGAGGGGGCGTGGTATAAGAATATTGTGGCTGTAGACAACAAACTGACATTAACAGAAGAACCGTCTTTCCAAACATGGGAGCAAATGGTCAGACTTTGATTGAAGATTACCAAAAATGCTTTCAGTGGTTTAACTTCTTGAAACCGTAAGAATAAGAAATAGCAAAAACAATCATTGGAAATTTAGATTTCACACAGACTGACAATAGTTATTTATATATATATATATATATATATATATATATATATATATATAATTTTTTTTTTTTGTGCATAAGGGAGTCATATTGTTAATTTCCCATATTTGTGTTTTTTGTTTTTATTACAGGTATTTCACTCAACCCAGAGCAGTGGAACCAACTAAAAGAGCAGATAAGTGAGATCGATGATGCCGTGAAGAGGACATAAGTCCTTCCTGCAGTTCACTGACAACCCGGATACTCTTTTTGAAACAGATTTTCACTTCACACTCCTGCCTATCCTGCCATTTTAAGGTTTTATTAAAGTAGTTGTTCATTGTTTGATGCCTTTTCTATTTGAGCCTTTCAACGTGTTGGTTTTAAAAGGGGTTGGATAGAGAGATGACTGGTTTTAGCTTGTGCCCTGAATTTTCAATAAAGTTGATCGAAATGCACAACAACGATTGTTTATTTTGAGTTACATATTTGCTGCTGAACATTTTATGTATGGTTTCTCAGGTTCCACACATATATTAGGCAGCCCTTTTTCGGTATTAATAATCAGTAAACAATCAGAAAACTTGTTGAAAGTTGAAACTATAATTGTAATATTCATGTAATTATTTATTTACAGTCCTGTGTTTTTTAACAATCAAATGCTGTTTGAGTGAGTATAAGAGGCATTTTTCAAAAGCAATAATAATAAATTTACACACTCCAGACATTTGAAAGGTAGTTTTAGTAGAATTAATTGACTATTTAAATGTTTACTACTTGTTTCAGCTATTTTAAACAGTAAAAATGTTGCTAAATTAAAATACGATATACTAGATGCATGTGTCTGGTCGAATATTTATACATAAGCAGTTATATTAAAATACTCTTGTAAATAATTAGTTTTAGGTTCCCAGATTTTGATGCACTGAGCAGAATGCATGGATAACTAATGTAGCCATCAACTGATCGTTTCAGTCAAGTAAGAAAACTAACAGTTCAAAAGAAATGCATAAAGTGTTAATTACTTTGTTTCTATGTTATCTTATTTATTCTATGTAGCCTATGACACGTCAGAGAAAAACAAGTCTCCTTCTGGAGCATCCCTAAATTGTCCTCCGTGAGAAAGTTCTCAAAATCTAAATTTATTTGGTGCACACAGTATTAAAAATCAAGGTTTCATTAATTCTGCTGGGGGTTATTTTAATCTCAGCTGTTTTTTTGTATGGATCATTCAAATATCTAACGTAAAGATGCCCATAGGGCCTGCGGTTTGTTTGTTTATTGCTGAACTTCAAAAAAAAAAAAAAAAAGGCAACTGAAATTAAATGTTTCAATTAATTGTAAATGAATATGTTTTTTAATGTAAATACAGTCACTAGATGGATAAAGGGCTATGCAGAAGCAAATCAACTAGTATAATTCTGATATAAATGTGATTGTTTTGTTTTTATTGTAATAACTTAATTATTAAATGTAAAAAATACTGTATTCTGTAATATAAAGCAATATTTTCTAGTCTTTTTTAAACATTATTAAATAAACTAGGAAATTACCAATGGCAACTATATTTACCTTCGGCCCACTTGCCTAAATTAAGAATTGGTGATTTTATTTAAATGAATGATTGGTGTCATCGTTCTACTTTTCGTGTAATTCACGATTGCAGCTTCATAGTTCGGTCACTAGATGGTGAAAATCAACTAAAGTCTGAGGGTCTGTTTTCTGTTCCACAGCAACTCTCGCTCTCGGGACAGACATGAATACGACTCGAGTTTAAGACCCTGATGAGGCGTGTTTCTTTAACACTTAATGTGCAGCAAACCATCACGCTGATGTGAAATTAGTCACTGGGTTTATTACAGACCTTATACGGACTTGACACTAATTTTTAGTCTATTTTTTTAAACATTATTAAACAAACTAGGAAATTACCCATGGCAATACCTTCGGCCCAATTAAGTTTGGTTTTCGGCCCTTCAGTTTGTGCAACTCTGATCTAAATTATTAGTGACTTTATTTAAAGGTACAATTATTGCTATTAATAAACCTTTTGCCTTAATGTGCTGCTTATTAAAAGTATTTAGGGTATATTGGTTTTGATATTAGAGATGGAGAACATGTAAACAGACATTATCTTAATTATAGACAGGTAATAAGCTACTATTAATTGAGATAAATATTTAACAAGCTCTTTATAACAATTATTCACATTTTCATAAACTTTCAAGCACTGTAGCTTTAGGAAATGCTTTAGAATATGTGACAATAGCCCCTTTCAAACAGACCTTTACGGAAAGGGGGTTAAGGGATAGTTCACCCAAAAATGAAAATTTACTCACTAATTGCTTATCTTAAATTGCTTCTGTCCCTTTATGATTTTCATTTTTTAATATCTCAAAAGATATTTTAAAGAAAGCTAAAAATCCGTAACCACTGATTCCCAAAAAGAAAAAAATACTATGGAGGTCAATGGTAACAGGTTTACAGAAATTTTCAAATTATTTTTTTGTGTTTAACAGAAGGAATCATAAAGGTTTAGAGTGAGTTCAATTCTCTATTAAATGAACTAAGCAGACTGAGGGAGGTTAATATTTTGTATCACAATACTTTAGTGTCGTATTTTTGTAGTTTAAAATACTGTAAAATGATTTGTCTGAAGTCTACATGATGACATAACATGCAGCCTTAGATTGGAACTTTCTTACTTAGACTTGAGATTAGAACAGAAGTTTTTTTTTTTTTTTTTAATTTGAAGGTGGTCTTGCAGTATGGAAGGAAATTATGCATGGCAGTATCTACAATGCTTCACTAGCTGTTTAAATTTCCAGTATAGTTAATGAAGAGAAAAGATGTCCACCTAAAGATGTTAAAGTGGTACAATATATGAAACACTCTTATTTAAAAATACAGCAATTCATACAGACTAGTAAAAACACCTGATTCTATACAGCATCAGCAGGATTTTTTTGAAAAGTTTATTTGTAAAAATTGATAACTCCTTTTTTAGTATATTTGAGATGTCATGCTTTTATGTTGTGCATTGAGGAAATTATATGAAAATTACATATGGAAATGACTAACTGTTTTTTAGTTTTCAGAAATCATGAGCATTTAGTAGGCCTATTGAAGAGTTCAACTGCATAAATCTAGATTTAGGAAAAATTCTGTGAAAAAATGTAAGACTTCATATTTAACCCTTTTAAAATATAAAAATGTTAAGAGGTTTAATAATCATACAGAGATTATATAAATTTCACTGGCCACACAATAGGTGGAAACAAACAACAGAAGTACTATATTTAGCTCATTATATGCATTGAACAGGAATGCAGTTTGAACAAAAATATACTAAATTAATAAAAAAAATACAGATTTTTTTTTAAAATAATTACTCATGTACAGTAGAGTTGAAGTGAACGAGGTAGCAGAGAATCTGCTAAAACTTGCTCAGAGAAAAGCTGTTGCTATCAAATATTGTTTATTTCACGTTTAACAGGGAAGGGATTGATCGAATAGTTATATTCATGAAATGTTTGCAAGGAAGGATCATGCTCATTCGTAAAACTATTTTGTAGTATTATTAAAATACAAAAATGCAGTATTTTATTTTGATACACCTGAAAAGAAGGCATTTCATATTTTATTTTAAAATACGTTTCAATGTATTTTTGCCCATCCCTGGCGGTTTCAATAATAAAAGTATACTAACAAAAGTAAAAGCGCATTTTAGTTGGTATTTTGGGACCTGGAATATGCTTTGGGGCCCCAAATCACAAATTTCAAGACGTTGTTTTCAGTGTGTTGCAATGTTAGACACACAATTCAAAATTGATGGGTTTCATCATCCTACTTTTCGTTTAATTTACGTTTGCAACTTCATAGTTCGGTCACTAGATGGTGAAAAAGTCAAGTAAAGTGTGAGGGTCCGTTTTCTGTTCCACAGCAACTCTTGCTCTCGGGACAGACGTAAATAAGACTCGAGTTTAGGACCCTGAGGCGTGTTTCTTTAACGCTTAATGTGCAGCAAACCATCACGCTGATGTGAAATCAGTTACTGGGTTTATTACAGACCTGATACGGAACTTCGCAGTCATTTTCGCAGTGAGCAAACAGCGGCAGCAGCAGCAATGAGAGAACAACATTTCAAGGATAATTTCTGGGTAAGATTTTCTTGTTTTGGTCAAGCCGTGCAGTCATTGCTTAGTAAAAATATAAATCAGATACTGTTTAATTTGTGTTATACTAAATAATTTCAAACGTACTCTGATTTCACATATATTTAACAACCTTTAAAACTGTTTTAGTTTGAGGTCGACCGTCTGTCACATAACGAAACAACATTGATTTCCTTAAGGGAAGTGAAGTTCAGACAACCAAACAGTTTTTAAAATAATACATTGAAAAATAATAGAAAAATAATATGCTGGAAGTCTTACAATGAATTTTGTCTCCTTGTTTTTGACTATTGCCAATTTCAGTCTGGGAACGTGTCAGACTTTATTTGGCAAGCAGGCAATAAGGTGCAATTTAGTATTGTTTTTGTTAGCTTTATTTTGGTATGCATTTTATGTTGACTGTGGCTTTGGGTATGATGCTATGTCTGCCCCTCAGACCCATAAATTACAGAGACTGATGTGTAATGATAGTCAACAGTCCAAACCACCGTGTTCTGAAGGATACAGTGGTGAATTTGTGATAATCCATATAGCTTTGTGTTGAATATCGAGGTTGGCAAACACTTGAAACATTTGTTGATGTATTTCTGTGTATTGTTGGTACAGAACACCGATATCACCTCTACGGCTGGATATGACACCATCATCCAGCACTTGAATGATGGCAAGAGGACCTGTAAGGAAATCGAAGACTTCATGAAAGCCAGGTGAGATATTGACTAGAATCACAAGACACTTTTCTTTTCACCTTAAACTATTTACATCCCTTAGCTATAAAATCTTGAAAACCTTATTTAGTGTATTTGCGTATAGCTTCAGGGAAATTACAGTAATTGAATTCATAAAAAAGGAGGAAAAATTGCCTCATGGCTAGCATTGTTGCAAGATTTCCTGTTGTTCATGTGAATAGGATTTACAGTTTTAATTTTTCTCATGAGCTACTGTTTTGTCAAGGAGTTACAGAAACAAATTCTGAAGATTAACGTCAACATGCTATCAAAATGGACAACTTAATGTTAAGCCATTTTTAGTATTTTTTAAATACCCCACATAAATACTATAGTAATTATAGTAAATACTATAGGGTGTCATGTTGTATTGTGAAGTATATGAATTCATCTGTTGTCTGCTATGGTAATTATACAACTATATTAATAAAAACAAATGATTCACTATTGTGGTTTTCCACTATGTAGGGTATTATACTGCAGCACACCACACCACAGTTTACTGTAGTAAAATGTGTATTACAGTTATTACAGTTTATCAGTTCTCTATAGTTAATACTATAGTTTGCCCTAGCAATTATTAACAAAGTGTTGTAAATACTACAGTATAATACACTTTACTACAGTATGGTTAAAACAGTAGTATTTCCAATAAATGTCTATATAACTTTTTATTAAATATAAAAAATTTAAAAGCATTGACTTTTGCCTTTTAAGCCTTAAGGAGTGTTTCTCCAACAAGAAAAATCTGAACAAAATGATGTATAATATAATATTTTATAATCTAATCTAGTCTTATATAATATAATATAATATAATATAATATAATATAATATAATATGGTAAAATATAATAAAAATATGGTCATTTTATCTTGATAGTGTCACCGTCACGATCACCAGCGATCTAGCCTACAAGCGATCCAGACACACAGCTGAAGCTTATGATTGACTCATTACTTGGACTATGTATACACCTAACATTCTCTCACACTAGGCTGAGTCTTGTGTACTGGTATCCTGTCGCATTATGAAGTGCTAATCCTGTCTAGTTCTACTGTGTTTTGATCCTAGACTTGTTTTCCGTTATTGATTCTTTGACGCCTGTACTGACCATTCGCCTGTTTTTGACTATGATATTGCATTACCGAGTGGTGGACAAAGAGAGGCTTCATGAAACACTGAAACAGTCGAAGCAAATGTATCGAAGTTTCGAAATGTCTCTACAGTGACACCTAGTGGTCATTTTTAATATATTGCTCTGGAACAACTTCAGCAAAGTAACAGTTAAGCAAATTGAGGTATCAAACCCCACGTTGCAGAGTTGAAGTGTCAAGTGATTTAGTGAAGCGGTGAGAGTTCCTGTCTAGCATGCCGAAATAATGGGTTTAAATCCAGGGTGATGCAGCTATAGATATTAGTTCCTAAATGCTCTGTTCTTGTAACGTGTTTTGTTTTAACACTGGTCTGACATCTACACGGACACTTTGTGAATAAATGTGTCTTGTTTTGGTCATAAAAAAGTAACATTATTAAAATACATCAAGTCACAATTTCAAAATATTTGTACAAGTCGGAATTCGAACTCAGGCTATTTGCAGACACACGAATGGTCCACTAGGCTTCATGAGATAATTTTTTTTGACCCTGTCAGTCAAACAGAAATTCGGCAGGTCTCGAAACGCCTATGAAATGACCGATGCTTTGAATCGCTTAAGTCACATGACCTGGTGTTTCGAAACACTTTAGTCACGTGACCTGATTGTTTTTAATCACCCTATGCACGTGACCTGGGTGTTTTGGATCATGCTTCATTGCAGTATTTTGAAACACTTGCGCTTCGAGATCTCAACACTGTCGAAACGTCAGTTTCACTTCAGCCATCCATATCACTTGCCTGATTTTGACTATGATCTTAGATTACCTTTATGCTCCTGTTTGCTACCTGTTTGACCATTGCCTGCCTGACTACTCCTAATAATAAACTGCACAGGGATCCTCAACTCTGTTGTCCAGCATCCTATAGTGACAGTCACATAGTTATGTAAATCTTGCAAAAAAAATAAAGGTTAACTTAAAGTTGTTTCCGAATATTAAACTGGGGTAGAGTTTAAACTTCAAAAATGTGATAATATTTCTTTTATGTAAAAATCATAAAACAAATACTTGATATACCTGAAAAACTCAGTATACATGGTTCATCACATTAGTTATTTTTTGATTATATTAAAATTGTATTTAAGCAAACATATGGACAAACTCATCTGTATCATTAGCATCAGTATAATAATATAAAGCATTAATTCAAAATATGAAAACATACTTTTCAGAGCTGCTATAGAAGAAAAATATGCCAAGGAGCTGCTGGGGTTGTCAAAAAAAGTGTGTGGACACAGTGAAATGAAGTAAGTACTGACGTCTAATTACAGTTAAAGTAAAACCAAAATTCTTCAGAACTAACTGAAAGCATTGTAAAGGTGCATTATTGTGTCTTTGGGTTTTTGTATTACACTGTAAAATGTTACTTTAACTTATTTTTATAAGTTTATCATGTTTCTACTTATACAAAGTTTTACTAAATGTTTAGCCTTTTTTATTTGATGAAAATTAAGATTACTAGAAAGGATAATTTCATTGAAAAAAAAATATGAAGGTTTAGTTTACCAAAAATTACTTACTCTCATGTCGTTCCAAACCCCTGAGACCTTAATTAAACAAATTTTTTTATTTTTGAATGATTTTACTTTTTAAACCAGCAAGATATTTTTTTACAGTTTAGATGCGTTTTTGAAAAGTTTGGTGTACATACTTTATTATGAATTGATAAGCATTGTTCTTTTAGTTTTCACATTATTCTTTTTTTTTTCAACATGACCTTGAGGATCCTGTTCTGGTTTTATTATGGTCTTTAAAACAAAGCACATACCAGTATTAGTATTAGTAAAATCAACTAAAATATTAGAAGGGAAAAAAACAACAGAATTAGAAAAATAATATATCTAAATTATGAGATATATCAAATAAAAAATTGTTTAATATATCTATTAATATAAAATAAAAATTATTTATATTAAAAATTATAAAAAACAAAAAAATAATTGGGGGGGGGCTAATAAATTTGGCTTCAACAACTGTATATATAAGCTGTATAAAATATACACATACATTGTCATAACAAACACTGTCATATTTGCATTTAAAATGACAACTGAGCGAATGATACTTAATAACAGTTGTCATAAGCATGCATAATATGTCATTTTCATTGATGTGTGATCTCATGATTATGAAGGTTTCCTAACTTATGAACGCCCTCTACAAGTAAAGTATTACCAGGCCCGGTCATTCATTTTCAGTAATCAGGTTTAAAAAGAGGAACTTGAGCTATATAAAAGACATTTCTGGACAAAGCTAGTAAACTATTACCAAGAAATGACCTTACAGTGATGTAAAAATAATTGAATTTCTTTAGAAATGTTCTAGTCAGGTCCTTGCAATCGCCTGCAACAAGTTGGTCAAGCACCACATTCACTTATTAGTTTGTGGTCTTGTTTTTTAGATTTTAACTGCTTGATTTGTTTAGCCAGAAAGTCATGACCCCATGATTTGCTAATGTTGTGTTGTCCTGGTTAGATAATGTCCTCTTTATAAAGATGACAATGGAACATGTAGCGCTGATCTGTTTGACTTCTGATCAATTCAAAGATAAACACCCTCTGTGTTGGTCACATGTCTGTAGTTGGTTTGTGGTTAATGCTTTTCCTCTTGACATGAGGTGTAAAAAAAAAACGTTTACTGTAGCTTGTGCTAGTCAATGCTGTCAGCAAATGGTTTTATTGCCAAAGTGGACTTCAGTTCAGCATTCACTCATCTAAATTTTGTCTGTTTTTAGCACGTTGAAACGATCCCTTGATGTTTTCAAATTACGTAAGTAAACACTGCAAGCATTTAAAGGGATAGTTCACCCAAAAATGAAAACTCTGTCATCATTTACTGTTTTTTAGACGTGTATGCATTTCATTTTTCTGTTGAACCTCAAATAATAAATGATAAATAATAAATTCTGTTGAACCTCAAATGATAAATGTTGGAAAAAACAGCCATTGGCTTCCATTGTGTTTATGTGTTCCTACTATGGATTTCAATGGCTGCCTTTCATAAACATTCTCCAGAATATTTTGTTTTGTGTTCAACAGAAGAAAGAAATGTATGAAAATGTAGAACCACTCGAGTGATTAAATGATGAGGAAACGTTTATTTTTGGATGTTAATGAATAATTGCAGTTTATTGTTCTGTTGCATTCCTGTAATTTTAATTTACATGTTTAGAAACCGAAAACATGAGTTTATCTCATCTGCATTTGGCCCAAACTATGAGGGAGGAAGCCAAAAAATTAGAAGACTTCAGAGAGAAACAGAAAGAGGCCCGGAAAAAGGTAAGAGCATTTCATACCTTTTTAATTGATTTAAAGTGTGTTATTTGTACTTCAGCAAATGGAAAGGCTTTTTATATCAGAAGAATATTGTCTGTTAGCAGTCTTGTTCATTAAATAGCCACACTTTTGGTCTTACTTGAAAGCTTGTGATTAAAACAGGAAATTGTTGGTAACATAGGCTCATTTTGAAAACGTACACCTCTATATATTTCTGGAGAGTGTGAATCATGTAGCTCGAGCTATGTATGACGTCTTAAAAGCGAACGCTATGGGGTGGTATGATGCTGCCTGTTTCTTCTTGCGCTACCAGCTGCCCACTTACCTCCGTGTGGACGGCATTTCATTTCTGGTAATGGTTTATTCAGTGGCTCGCCACGTACGTCGGCAGACTTAAGATGCAGAGAGGAGTTGACCGCAATGACAGGGTTCGAGTCTGGTGCAGATCAGTTCCAAAAAGCAGGTAAAACAAAAAATAAAATAGAACGTGGTAAGCTCTGAAAATTTGGAAAAATTAGGTGGGGACTTTTTTTTTTCTGGATTGCTTTTGGAAACACTGTCGATTGGGTTTAGGAAAGGCAGTGGCCGGGTCAATTTGTGCTTTTGAAAACACTGTCGATTGGGTTCAGGAAAATGGGTGGATGGGGGATATCGGTCGATCAGTCAGTCAGTCGACAGCAGCTTCTGGTGGATTTAGGCGTGAACAGCAGGTGCAAATGGCACTCGGGAGAGGAAATTGAGATCTGAAAAAGTGTACGCAGCGGCCTCTGGCAGATTCGCAAAAACAAAAATAGCAAAAATCCATACCTCCTGGGACGTATTTGCCGCTCTCCAGAAATGTACACAGGGGTACATATCAAGAATGAGCCTTGGTTAGGAAATTAGTGTCTAAAGCAGGGTCAATAACCCCTTTCCTGGAGAGCTACTTTTCTGCAGATTTCAGTTGCAATCAAACACACTTGTCTGTAATTATCAAGTGCTGCCTAACCTGCATGTCCTAATTAACGGGTTCAGGTGTTTGATCAGGGTTGGAGATGAATTCTGCAGGACGGTAGCTCTCCAGGAACAGCGTTTTTGACCCCTGGTCCAGAGTCATGAAAACAAGTTCAATGCCTTTAAAACACACACATTTTAGGTTCTTGGTACCTAAAATGACAGATTTTATGGTGTTTTTTCTTACAATTTGCAGCAATATTTACGACATATCTGTCTCTAAAGATTTAGAGTGCTGAATTATATTTAGATGAATTGTAGTCTGTACTTGTTATGATCATTAGCGATCTAGCTCTTGCAGATAGCTGGAGAACACTCCTTGTCATTCACCTGAACTACACATCTACCCTTGTACTACATATCCTACATCATGCCCCTCTGTTGCACACCAGTTTCAGATCTCCTCCTGATTACACACACAGCTGAAGCTAATCAGAACTTGTTAAATAGACTATAGACACTTCAGTCAGACACACATCTACTATACTGATGCTGCGGTCACACTAGAGTTTGTGCTTGCTAAAGTCCCATTTACTACTATGAAAATATAATTCCTTTGCATTTGTTTATCTATATAAGTGAAACTAAGCTGCTTTTTGTTTTGTATTTTCTCACTAAAAATCTGACGGGTAATTACAAGTTTGATGTATTTCCTCAAATAATGAAAATACAAACCACACTATTTCTTTCATGTTTAGTCCAGATTAAAACAAAACAAACATTTGAAACTAAATACTACATATGATGGTTATGTAACCTGTTAATGAAAATGATTCCTTTTAGTTTGTGTGTGAGAGGCATCTGTTGAGGCATCTGCAATTGATACAGTAGACATACACTAGTTCAAACAGACTTTAGCTGAATGCGCATTGTGATAACACTTGAGCCAAATGCAGGAAATATATCATGCAAAAGACAAGTGGTCTAGTGTAAGTGTCAGGACAGGCTTATTCTGTCAACTATAGTGTGACAATTAGTGCACGACAAGTGCGTGTCATTGGGTAATGAAAATCTCTTCTCACTTGCAGTCCTTATGGTCACTTAAACCAAATACAAGAAGAATATGGTGTAAGAAGACAAATGGTGAAGTGTGAGCTCATTTGGTTGACAATAGTATGGCCATTAGTAGGTGGTTTAAAGCGAAGAAGAATATGAAAATCAGACAAAAAGACAAAGGTGGAAGACTTACTCACCTTACTCAGACAGTTGAATCAGAAACAGTGGAGAAATACAACTAGTAGTCAATTTTTGGATTGAATCTATAAAAACAAATGTAATGTAGATTTGTGGCATGGCAAGAGTGGATATGTGGAGTTCCCCTTCGGGGGGAACTTCAGCACTATAAGTGGATTTGATTTGTAAAATCCACGCATTGGGAGGTTCGGTTCAGAAGCTACTCGTCTGAAAGAGTATTGAACGGGCCAATTAAGAATGAATTGGCAGCGCAAGCCTGCGCAGGTGAGCGGCATAAGCAATCAACTGAGTATATAAGCTCACCTGGCGCCAGCAGACGCTATCCTTTTCGCTTCAGAGACTTTCTGATCGAGTCGATGAGGGTTCCTCCTGCTGTGACCAGCGATTCTGAGCGAACGAGAGCATTCTCCCGGTCCAGAGTGTGTACACGCAGTGGCAGACGGTCGAGCTGGGTTTCTCCCTTGCCTGGCGTTCTTTGGGTCCGGTCCTCCAGAGCGGTGCGTATAAAGTTGCAAACTTCACAGAAAGAGCAACACAGTCGTGCAGCACGTCCTTATCAGGACGGCGCTCCGACTGTGCGTTTCTGGATGCGGTGGTTTCCTGTCCTCGGATGATGGGCGCGGGCATTGCGTTACATGTCTGGGGGTCCAGCATGTTAATGCGCTGCTCGCGGGCAGTTCATGTCGTCATTGCGATGCCATGACTGTTGCGCAAGATCGCGGTTAGCCTTTGCAAAAGGGTGAACCACCCCAGTTGTCCCCTGCTCTGCAGCGGGCACTCGGGCAGATCTGAGGGTTTCAGCGAGAGATAATCCGTCGCCCACGGGCCCGCGGACCTCCCGCTCCTCTAAGCGCTCCATCCAAGCTTCGGGCGGGGGAAGCGATCCGTCTAACAGATGGTAGCCCTTACGCCCGATGACACCGGAGACCAGATGTCCACCGCGGCATCGGAGGGTGGGCTTTCATTGTCCGATGATGATCCAGACCCGCTCGCCCCCTTCGGGCTGGTGAGCGCTGTCACTACGGATCCTGAAACGGACATGTTAGCCGTGCTTTCCCGGGCTGCTTCGGCCGTGGGTTGGAGATGGTTTATCCCCCAGCTCCGCGGCCGGACCGACTAGAGGGGCGTTCCCTTCTTCCCGGAGGTGCACAGTAGGCTCACGCGGCCTTGTAAAGCACTTTTTTCTGCTCGTGCTGCGTGTTCCTCCACCCTAACCACTCTTGACGGTGAAACAGCCAGGGGGTATGTGGCGATTCCTCAGGTTGAGTGCGCGATGGCGGTAAATCCGCGCGGCGCCTCTTCTTGGCAGGGTCCGCCTCGTCTCCCATCCAAAGCCTGTAAGTTATCTACCTCCCTCGGAGCTAGAGCTTACATAGCTGCGGGCCAGGCTGCTTCCGCCTTGCATGCGATAGCCACCTACCAGCGCTACCAAGCGCAGGCGCTGGCCGAGCTGCACGAGGGTGGGTCCAACCCAGGCTTACGAGCTTCGCACCGCCGCCGACTTAGCTCTTCGGACTACTGAGTCCGCTGCGTGTGCGTTGGGGAGGACGATGTCCACATTAGTGGTCCAGGAGCGCCACCCCTGGCTGATATGCGCAAAGTCGACAAAGTCCGCTTTCTTGACTTCCCCATATCCCCAGCCAGGTTCGGCGACACTGTCTGTGAATTCACCCAGGAATTCAAGGCGGTGAGAGAGCAGTTGGTGGGTGATGTCTTATCGGCGGTCCGTAGCCCGCTCCGCCCGCCGTGCCATTCATACCTGCTCCTCGCCGAAGGCGCCCGCCTACGAGAGCTGCTCCGCCCCCGCACACGCCTCAGGCGAAGCGAGCGCGTCGGGCACCTCGGAAGCAGGCAGCCCCCCTGCCCAGAACGCCGCTAAGTCCGGCAACGGACCGCGAAGCGCCCCTGGGACAGGCCATCTGGAGAAGAGGGAACTTGCTCTTTCCCCGCTGGAGGGCGGGGCCCCATTTCCAACGGCACTTTTTACTGCCATGAAAACATTATGAAAGGGCACTTTTCACTTCCCCAGATGTGACAGCCCGAAATCTGCCAGTCTGGGACGCTATGCTTTCTAGCTTGCAGATTCGGTGCGTTTCGCCAGTGGCTCACGAGCGCTGGGAGGACGGTCTCCTTTCTCCCACCCCTCGAGCCTCCCCTCCGGAGCTCGGGTTTGGAGTGAGAGCAAATATCTCACCTCCAGCTTTTCCGTGGGACCCGCGAGCTTCCCGGATCAGCACACCCACTCCGCGCTGCCCCACTGCTGGTACGTCAGCGATTGTAGCGATGAGTCCATTAGCGAGAGCTCTGCCTGCCTGGTTAGCGCGGGCCAGCTCTTCGCGGTGGCTCATACGCACAATCAGACTCGGCTATGCGATTCAGTTCGCGAAACGGCCCCCCAAGTCACGGGTGTGTATTCACCAGGGTCAGCCCCCTGTCCGCCCCTGTCTTGCGAGAGGAGATTGCTGTCCTCCTGGCGAAGGATGCAATCGAGCCGCTCCCTCCAGCCGAGATGGAGGGTGGGTTTTACAGCCCACGCTTCATCGTGCCCAAAAAGAGCGGTGGGTCACGGCCAATCCTAGATCTGCGCGTTTTGAACCGCTGCCTGCACAAGCTGCCGTTCAGAATGCTCACGCAGAAGCGCATCCTCCGGTGCGTTCGTCCTCTGGGTTGGTCTGCAGCATTAGACCTGATGGACGCGTATTTCCATGTCTCCACTCTTCCTCGCCACCGACAGTTTCTGCGGTTTGCGTTTGAAGGTCGAGCTTGGCAATACAAAGCCCTCCCCTTCGGGCTCTCTCTGTCTCCGCGGGTCCTCA